TTGGTCAAATTATTATGAGCTTTTAGAATTCAACTATGACACACAACATATTTATTGTCAACCAGTGTTTTGTAATCCTATGATTGTGAAAAATGGTAAAACTTTATACTACAATAATTTTTTTGAAGCAGGTTTATTGCAATTGAAAGATTTTACTTACGAATGTGTTCCCGACTTCCTTTCTATATCAGCAATAACCGAAATTATCATGTTAGGATCAACGTGACCGGCACGCGGTTCGTGTCTAGAACTACACGTGCGATTTACAAATTGCTCGTACGGCGCGTGTTTGTAATATAGCCGGTGTCCAGACAGTTCTGGTCGAACAAATTTCCTAACTTTGATGTTGACCGGAGTTTTCAAACTGTACATGTATCTTACTACCCATGTGATTGTGTAGAGTTAAATTTAAAAGTTGATCACAATTGGATCTTTACTAGCAATAAACTCTGCCGCTTTAAGATGTCGGATAGTGATCTCTGTCCTGTTTGTCAGCTTTAAACTAAAGATATTTTTCATCTTTTCTTAGAGTGTCCAAAGTTAAAACAGTTCATTGATTATCTTGTAAATCTAAATGAAACTATTTTTTCTAGGGCAGATGTCAATGTCCTCAACTCTCAAAATTTTAAAACATTATTGTTGTTTGGTTCGTCACAGAAAAATAAACACGTGAATATGCTTTTTGTCAATTTCTTGATGTCTGTTGCCAGGTTTTGTATCTTCAAACGTCGTAATTTAGTAATAAATGGAGAAGGTCTTGTTGATATTAAGTCTTTCTTTAAACTTACAATCAAGAACTACTTAAAAAATTAGGCTTCAATGTCTAGGTCACGGGTTCGAGGCTTACGCGGGGCAGTCGCCAGGTGCTGGTCGCAGGATAAAGTTGTGTTATCTGTAGTTAATGTGTATTGCCATGTTAGGAGAGGGCCTACCAAGTTGTGTTATCTGTAGTTATTGTGTATTGTCATGTAGGCAGAGGGCCTAGTAAGTTATGTTATCTGTAGTTATTGTGTATGTCATGTAGGCGGAGGGCCTAGTAAGTTATGTTATCTGTAGTTATTGTGTGTTGTCATGTTGGGAGAGGGCCTAGTAAGTTGTGTTATCTATTGTAATTGTGTATTGTAATGTTGGGAGAGGGGCTGGTTAGTTGTGATATTTGTAGTTATTATTTAATGTAATGTTGGGAGAGGGCCTAGTTTGTTGTGTTATCTGTAGTCATTGTGTATTGTAATGTTGGGATAGGGTGTTATCCTAATGTAAGTTGTGTTGTGTTATCTGTAGGTGTATTGTGTATTGTAATGTTATTGTGTATGGAGAGGGTCTTGTAATTTCTGTAATCTGTAGTTATTGTGTAATGTAATTTTGGGAGAGGGACTAGTTTGTTGTGTTATCTGTAGTTATTGTGTATTGTAATGTTGGAAGAGGACCTGGTAAGTTGAGTTATCTGTAGGTATTGTGTATCGTAATAATGGAAGAGAGCCTAGTTTTATTGTGTACTGTTACGTTAGGAATTAACGTACAGCAAATAAAACCCAACAGCTTGGTTAAAATTCAACAATTTAATAACAACAAACAGATTATATGCAGTAAAATTACAAATATTGCGATGGTGTGTAGAGCTAGCTACTAATTAATCAAAAGTCAGAACTTAACTTTCCGTGGAAATTCTCCAACATTGCAGTCATGTTTATGCGGCAAGAAAATCATTTTTTATGACACTGTCTTATTTTGGCTGTCCATTGTTCATAGGAAAAGCCAACAGGGACATAATTCGAGATGGTTACTTTCTTATTACATGTAATTCATTTATTGTTCCATTCTTATTGGCCAAAGAGTTTCGTGCTCTCTATTAGCTGCATCTAGTTACAACGCTTCATCTGTTGGTGTAAGAAGGTAGAACTATTTTACTGCAAACCTTGATTGTACAATCTTTAAATTACATCTAATTTGATATAATTGAAATAACACGAGACACGAGATTTCAACATAAAAAAAAATATCAAAATTTATTGCTGGATTTGAAGGAATTTTGCACATGTTTAAACAGAAGAGAGGTCAACAACAAGTTCTGAACCACCAAACAAACGAAGCTCTAAACTTAACTGTATGCCCAAGGCATTTTAATTTTTAATCGTTATACGACTTTAATGTGTATTCCACTAATAATTCAGAATATATCCATTCCTTTTGTATCATAGAAAAAGTGATTTTAATAGGAAACTATTACATATTCTTATGATATTTTGTGTATAATAATGAAACAGGTGAGTATGTAATAAACATTACCTGCATTATATTTTTGCTGTTTTATTTTCCGCAATAAGTAACGTACGAACGTCTTTTTATTTTTTTCAATAGACTTGACGAAAGACATACTCATCTGAACAGCTGCTTTTCATTACAAATTACAAAGCCAAGGCTTTTGACATTTCATCATTTCATTCTTAAATTTTATATAAAGGTATCTATACGAATAAGAAGAGAGGAACAGAAAGTTAACGTACTTTGTCTCCTTAGGCCCGGGACCTATATTGTATCAAGAACAGTGTAATTGTATCATATAAACCAAAGCTCGACATTTTAACCCAGGAATCTGTATTCCTTTGTTTCGAAGATGTTGCGATGAAAATGATTTGAAATATAAAATATGAAATATCACATACTATTCACATAAATCACAGTCTCACAACATCTAGTCTTCAGAATGTACAACGAATGTTCAATAATGTACACAAGAATGATTACAGTTTACCATTTATTGCCCATAAAGAAAAACGAAATGATTAAACCAGAATTCGTCGAAAACATATCCTGTACGTAAATATTTTACCAACCAGCACCACAGGACTGTGACTTCCGATACAGATATTTTTTTACTTTCGTCATAGTGATGTCATAGTCATTTCAATGTGCGGTTTGAAGCTGGACGTGTTTTATGCTCGTTAGGGGCAAGAAGTTCATACCTTGGTAAAGCAATGTAATACAGTTCCATCAAGTATTTCATTCTACCGTATCTTGGTGCTAAGAAGATTAATCTTTAACATTTCAGTCGATTTGGTCAACTGTAGCCCAGTTCATCAGTCCTCTGGGGATAAGTTAGAGTCAGTTGGGAGATGCCATCACATACTAATACTTCTAATGTAGTGTGAATTATTCGCGATGAAAATTCAACAATTTATACTAAATAAAACTTCCAACTGTCTACATAAAAATTGATGACACAGAAAGCCATTAATTTTTTTATTACTGTACATTTGGCAAAAAAAAGTGATTTCAGCCATGTTTATGCGGCAAGAAAACCGAGAAATCATTTTTTATGAGACTGTCTTATTTTGACTGTCCATTATTCATAGGAAAAGCCAACAGGGACATAATTCGAGATGGTTACTTTCTTATTACATGTAATTCATTTATTGTTCCATTCTTATTTGTCGTTTTTAACATGTTTGATTTTAATACTATTGTTTCATTGTATGTATCTACTGTTATATTTCAGTTTGACCTAGTCCTGTTTTAGGTTTTACCGTGTTATCTTTTCAATTGCTGTTTTTTAAAATTGAGTTCCTAAAACGGTTTTCGACAAAAAAAAATCATCGTTGTTAAGAGAACTGCCAAAGGTTGTCAACTGCACGAATGTGGTAAGGGGTGAGACAGAGCACATATATTTCCCAGTTATAACAACAGGTTTCTCTTTACATCGCATATTGTGAACAAGCTACTTTGTCCCATTTAAACAAAGGACATTAAGACTATCGCAGATAATGATTACCATATAGAAAGGAACAGTATCAACTTGATGTTGTTGTTGGTGGTGTTGATGTTCTGTCACGAATTGTACGGTGCCTGTTGTGTGGACTAAAAGGGCTGTTCGGATATGTCTTGAGGTTGTCTAACGTTGCTAAGGTTTATTTCAGTTTGTCATATACGAAGCACGACCGTCCTAGGTTATAAAACTTGATAAGATTAATGGGTCTCTCCAGAGTAAAGGAAAGCATTTGAAATTTGAAATGCATCTTCAAGAATGGGAGCTTTCCTTATCAGTTAAGTTGCGTAGACCCCCTGACTGCTGACTAACTCAATACTCATGTGCTCTAAGTCTATAAGCTATTATTGTATACCAGGGCTAGTCAGGTGAAACTTTCCTACTCGTATGCGATTGAATGATATCAGCACCGTATATCATCAAGCCCAGTGTCGTCCCCTTTTATCTTTGGAATTCCACTTAATTTCAAATAGTTACGTCTGAAAGATACTACCTAAGAGCGTCAAATTTTAAAGTTAGATGAAAATTCATATTTAAACAATTCGTTTGATACAAATGGTAAAATTTTCAACGTCATTAATTTGTAAAAGTCCTCCCCCATCTCCATCTCAGTTGTTAACTGCTATATGGAATGCTATTAGCAAATTTCAATACCGCAATCATATATGTTGCCGAATATAAAGTGAAATTTTCTAAGTGTTTTCATGTCATGTTGTGAAGGTGTTCCGACTTGGAATTTGCTGAAATGTAAGTAATTTGTTACCTTAACAGTGCTGTTAATTTAAAGACAGATGTTCACAAAACATTTTTCTATAAAATTGTAGTTTTAGATTTGAATTGGTACCATTTTTGCATTTTTAGCATTTTTGAATTGGTAACCATGGCAATCACATATTAGAAATCACGGAATATTTTTGATTTACACAATTTTTTCTATCTCTTCTACCACTGTTATTGTTATTCAGTTGATGAATATATATATACACGTAAGGGTGTGTTTTTATTTTTTATAATCAATCTGCTTTACTTGTATATCTCAAATACGACCTGTGATTTCATGAAAAATGCAACTTAACTATTTCTAGCTACCTATTATGTTCTTTTTAAATATGGAGTTATCCTCCATTGATATTGTTTGCCGGTATCTTTACACACGTAATGATAAAGCCAATTGAATGAGTCGTTTTTTTCTGTAAGAAAAGATTGCTGTGATCATGAAGTCATCAACTCGTTTCATCTATCGCAGCATCATGCGGGTCTTTTTCAATGGATACCGGGTAGTATAAGGCGGGAAATCATACCAGTAAGCAGTTTTATCACTATAAACTATGGTATCAGTAATGAAACGATAGGGGCCGTTCAGGATGGCCAGAGAACATGCGTTAAACCACCAACCACTGCCATGAAATTCTGCACAGGAACCACCGTAGTTATCATTATCTCTGTCGCTGGTGCCGAAGTAATTGCCGTTGACGTGTGCCATAGAATCAACTAAGAAACAAAGATACCAAGAAGTTGTTAATCGTACAATCATCCCATAGCAATGTCTTTTTTTTGGTAGTAGTGCATGCTAGCGAATATGAAATCATGATAAGCATTCAACAATAGGGATAATTTTTTGTCGTTACAAAGCAGTGCATATGGCAAACCATGATAATGTGAATAGGTTGTTGAAAACTTGATTGAGAAGTCATTAGATTTTAATCTATAGAAACCTGAAAGTGGTTGTAGGTCATTAATTTGAACAAACTTCATTACCCTTTTTTGAAGATTTAATACATTCGCCCTGTGGCCTTAAATGGGATTAAGATAAATCTTTTGAACATCTTGTGATAATTCATGCCAAAATTCTGGAAGCCAAAATTAGTATCCTTTTGGCTTTTTGGTTACGGAAAAAATGTCGTTTGAAGGTAAAAGGTGACTACGGTCTACGGCATAAGCGCCTTCCTGAGCTAAAACGATCACTTTGAAGTTACTTTCATATCATCCCAAACTTTTTTGTTTGTATTTGCGTTAAGTGAATGAGTTGATGTACTCTGTTCACCGACTGATTCAAACAAAATACATTGTTTTCAATTTTATCGTATGACGTTTTTGTTGTTCAGGAGTTGTAAGTCTTAAGTATATGGTATGGAAATAACTTGTCAACCCTGTAAGCAAGAGTTTCAATAAAGACAAATTGATAAGTTACAGCTATTTTTGTTCCGAAATGGACAAAACGAGAAGCAAGAAGAGAAAGTATAATAAACGAAATCATTCTTACAAGACACACTGCCCGAGAATCCCGACAGATGAAGTTGATACATCTCAGATTCGGAGCCCACTTGGAACGTTGAGTATTCGGCAAATGCTGTTAAGTTCTCCCAAGACTCTAGTTCGATACGTAAGACACGTGGAGTTTTGGTTAAATTGTGAAGCATTTCATTTCCTTCAAATACAAGACGAATAAATATCATAACTGTTCCTAAATAATAATGTTATTCATTACATTATCATAAAGAATGGTTTCTGTTTCCACTTAACATCACTTGTATTTGAACAATGTGTCAATCCTTTGTTTCTGGATATATTTATAGTCAAAATTCTATTATACTCTATATCGAAACCACTTTACATTTTGTGAATCACTGCAGCTCTTAATATGTTTAAGTGTCGTGTTTGATGACCTGGAATGAAGGCTTTTTTGTAATTCATTCCGTCCGCAATTTCATCGATAATTAATGCTGTTTTAATTTGAAACAATGCATGAAACATATCACATTCTTCTCGTATCATTCTCTCAAACATTGGACTTAATGCCTGTTTGAGGCGTGTATTATACCAAACTGGCACTTTCTAAAATTTTCACACATATTTTAGTATTGCTCCTTATTAATTCAGTCTTACCAATCCAAAAATCACCATTTAGATCCCCGAAGCCATTCTTGTATGTTTCCCAGTCTCGATAGAAGTCGATGTCTCCGTTTAGTCGTCTTTGTATAACCTACTTATTGCAATAGAAAACCAAGCTTTAAACAAAGGAATCGGTATTAGTGGCATTTAGTAGTTAATTAGACATAATAGGCGTGATAACAATGGGGAGAAAACATGTGACCTGTTTCATAAGAGCAAACAAACTAAATTCATCCTTGATTGGGTTTGTGTGGAAAGAATTTCAAGAAATTAACATTTGATGAGGCTGATTTTTTCCCGCTGTAGTACTCACTGTCCATGATCCTCCATCCGTGTCAATATCGCAAACCACGGGCATGTTGTAGGTCATCATATATATACCAGACGGAGATGCGGGATGAATATCGGAACAGGTCCTGGGAACTAAACAGATTGATTCTTATTTCAGAATTCTTGAAACCCATAAAAACACATCACCAACTTCGGTTCGATTACTTGATACACCTTTGTCTTTATTCCTTCACACACTTTAATATCATTTTTTACTAATAATCCTTAAAATGTTGTTACAGTACCAATATAAAAAGTAGCCCAACACTGTGAACAATTCATCTGAGTTTATTAAATCTCACTTAATACATGCATATGCACTCTTCGTAGAATAGATTAAGTACATATACTTAAGAATGATATTGATTCTAAATGTGAGGTAAACAGGTTAAATTGCCAAACGAATTATATATAATGAAAACGAATGTGTGGGAGAATGAAAACACCGCAGTCTATCCTCCGACCTTGCATATTAGACCACATTAAATTTGAACAAGCGACCCACATTGTGTGTGTTTTGTGTGGTGGTGGTAATTTGTTTGTGGATATGTGTGTTGTGTGGGAATGTGTGTGGTGTGTGTGTATGTGTGTTGGTGGTGGTGGTGGTAGTGTGTGGTGGATTTGTGTGTGTGTGTGGTGATGGTGGTGGTGTGCGTGTTTGTGTGTGTGGTGGTGGTGGTGTGGTGGTGGCAGTGGTAATGGTGGTATGTGTGTGTGTTTGCCTGTGTGTGATGGTAGTGGTGTTTGTGCTAGTGTGTGTGTGTATGTGTGTATGGTGATGGTGTGTGTATGTAGTGATGATGTTTGTGTATGTGTGTGTGTGGTGGTGGTGTGTGTGTGTGTGGTGGTTATGTGTGTATGTGTGTGTATGTGTGTGTGTGGGTGTGTGGGTGTTGTGTGTGAGTGGTGGAGGTGGTATGGGTGTGAGGGTGTGTGTGTGTGTGTGTGTGGTGGCAGTGGTGGTGGTGGTTTATATGCGTATTTGTGTGTGTGATGGTAGTGGTGTTTGTGCTAGTGTGTGTATGTGTGTGTGGTGTTGTGTGTGTATGTGGTGTTGATGTCTGTGTATGTGTGTGCTGTGGTTGTGGTGGTGTGTGTGTGGTGGTTGTGTGTGTGTGTGTGCGTGTTTTGTGTGAGTAGTGGAGGTGATATGGGTGTGAGGGTGTGTGTGTGTGTGTGGTGTTGTGTGTGTATGTGGTGTTGATGTCTGTGTATGTGTGTGCTGTGGTTGTGGTGTGTGTGTGTGTGTGTGTGTGTGTGTGTGTGTTTGTGTGTGAGTGTGTGTGTGTGTGTGTGTGTGTGTGCGTGTTGTGTGTGGGTGGTGGAGGTGGTATGTGTGTGTCTGGTGGTAGTGTCGGTGTGGTGGTGGCAGTGGTGACGGTGGTGGTATAGTGTGTATTTGTGTGTGTGTGATGGTAGTGGTGTGTTTGCTATTGTGTGTGTGTGTGTGTGGTGTTTTGTGTGTATGTGGTGTTGATGTCTGTGTATGTGTTTGCGATGGTGGTGGTGGTGTGTGTGTGTGCTGGTGGTGTGTGTGGTGGTGGTGTTGGTGGTGTATGTGTTGTGGTGTTTGTGTGTGTGTGTACGTGTGTGGTGATGGTGGTGCTGTGTGTGTGTGTGATTGTGTGTGGTAGTGGTGTGTGTGTGGTGGTGGTTGTGTGTGTGTACGTGTGTGTGTGTTGGTGTTTGTGTGTGTGTTGTGGTGGTGATGTTTGTATGTGGTGGTTGTGTGTGTATGTGTGTGTGTGGTGGTATCTGTGGTGCTGTGTGTGTCCTGGTGGTGTGTGTGGTGGTGGTGTTGTTGGTGTATGTGCGGTGGTGTTTGTGTGTGTGTGTGTACGTGTGTGGGGTGTGTTTCTCTTTTTTGTGTGTGGTGGCGGTGTTTGTGTGTGTGTGTGGTGTGGTGTTGGTGGTGTATGTGTGGTGGGGTTTGTGTGTGTGTACGTGTGTGTGTGGTGGTGGTGGTGCTGTGTGTGTGTTTGTGTGTATGTGTGTGTAGTGGTGTGTGTCTGTTGTGTGTGTGTGTTTGTGTGTGTGTGGTGGAGGTGGTGTGTTTGTGTGTGGTGGAGGTGCTGTGTTTGTGTGGATTTGAATGTGTGTGTGTGTGGAGTGTGTCTTTTGTGTGTGTGTGTGGTGTGTGTTGTGTGTGTGGTAGTGATGTGTGTGTGTTTCTGTTTGTGTGTGTGTATGTGTGTTGGGGTTTATGCGGTGGTTGTGGTTTTTGTGTGTGTGGTGGTGGTGTTTGTGTGTGTTTGTGTGGGTGTATATGTGGTGTGTGTTTTTCGTTGTGCGTGTGTGTGGTGTTGTTTGTTTAGTGTACGTGTGTGTGTGTGGTGGTGGTGGTGATGTGTGTGTGTTTTTGTGCATATGTGTGTGGTGTCTGTTTGTGTTTGTATGTGTGGTGATGGTGTGACTGTTGTGCGTGTACGTGTGTGGTGGTTTTGTGTGTGTTTGTGTGTGGTGGTGGTGGTATTTGTGTGTGTGTGTGTGTGGTGTTTCTGTGTGTGTGGTGTATATGTGTTGTGGTGTTTGTGTGTATTTGTGTGTATGTGTGTGTTATATGTGAGTGTGGTGTGTGTGTCTGTTGTGTGTGTGTGATATTGGTGTGTGTGTGGTGGTGTTTGTGTGTGTGGTGTGTTTGCGGTGTTGGTGGTTTTTATGTGGTGTTGTATGTGTGTTGGTGTTTTTGTGTGTGTGGTGGTGGTGTGTGGATGTGTGTGTGGTGGAGGTGGTGTTTCTGTGTGTGTTTGTGTGTGTGTGTGGTGTGATGGTGTGTCTGTTGTGTGTGGACGTGTGTGGTGGTGGTGGTGCTGTGTGTGTGTTTGTGCGTGTCTGTTTTGTGTGTGTTAGTGTGTGTGTGGTGGAGGTGGTGTGTGGGTGTGTGTGTGGTGGAGGTGGTGATGTTTATGTGTGTGTTTGTGTGTGTGTGTGGTGTATGTGGTGTGTCTGTTTGTGTGTGGTGATGGTGTGTCTGTTTTGTGTGTACGTGTGTGGTGTTTGTATGTGTGTGTGGTGGTGGTGGTGGTGTGTGCGACGGTGATGTTTGTTTGTGTGTTTGTGTGTGTTATATATGTGTGTGTGGTGTGTGTCTGTTGTGTGTGTGTGTGATAGTGGTGTGTGTGTGGTGTGTGTCTGTTGTGTGTGTGTGATAGTGGTGTATGTGTGGTGGTGTTTTTGTGTGTGTGGTGGTGGTGTGTGTGTGTGTGTGTGGTGGAGGTGGTGGTGTTTATGTGTGTGTTTCTGTGTATGTGTGTTTGTATGTGTGTGTGTGGTGTGTGTGGTGTGTCTGTTTGTGTGTGGTGATGGTGTGTCTGTTTTGTGTGTACGTGTGTGGTGTTTGTATGTGTGTGTGTGGTGGTGGTGCGGACGGTGATGTTTGTATGTGTGTTTGTGTGTTTGTGGTGGTGTTTGTGTGTATGTATGTGTGAGTGTGGTGGTGCTGTGTGTGTGTGTCTGTGTGCATGTGTGTGGTGATATGTGTCTGTTGTGTGTGTGTGCGTGTGTGTGGTGTCAGTGGTGGTGTGTGTGTGGTGCTGTGTGTGTGTACGTGTGTGTGTGTGTGGTTGTGGTGTTTCTGTTTGTGTGTGTGTGTTGTATATATGTGGTGGTGTTTGTGTGTGTGTGTGTGTGTGTGTGTGTACGTGTATGTGTGTGGTGGTGGTTCTGTTTGTGTTTGTGTGCATTTTTTGTGTGTGTGTTATGTGTGAGTGTGTGTGGTGTGTGTCTGTTGTGTGTTTGGGTGTGGTAGTGGTGTGTGTGTGGTGGTGTTCGTGTGTGTGTGGTGTGTTTCTCTTTGTGTGTGGTGGTGTTGTGTGGTGTGGTGTTGGTGGTTTATGGGTGGTGGTGTTTGTGAGGGTGTTCGTATGAGTGTGGTGGTGGTGGTGCTGTGTGTGTTTGTGTGAATGTGTGTGTGGTGGTATGTGTCTGTTGTGTTTGTGTGTGTTTGGTGGAGGTGGTGTGTGGGTGTGTGTGGTGGAGGTGCTGTGTGTGTGTATGTCTGTGTGGAGTGTGTCAGTTGTGTGTGTGTGTTTGTGTGTGTGGTATTGGTGTGTGTGTGGTGTTGGTGGTGTATGTGTGGTGGTGGTGTGTTTGTGTGTATTTGTGTGTGTGTGTGTTATGTGCGGGTGTGTGGTGTGTGTCTGTTGTGTGTGTTTGTGTGTGTGGTAGTGGTGTGTGTGTGTGGTGTTTGTGTGTGTGTGGTGTGCTTCTTTTTGTGTGTGTATGTGTGGTGGTGTGTGTGCGGTGTTGGTGGTTTTTGTGTTTGTGGTGGCTGTGTTTGTGTGTGTGTGCGTGGTGTTGGTGGTATATGTGTGGTAGTGTTTGTGTGTATGTACGTGTGTGTGTGGTGGTGGTGGTGCTGTGTGTTTGTTTGTGTGCATATATGTGTGGTGGTGTGTGTCTGTTGTGTGTATGTGTGTGTGTGGTGGTTGAAGTGTGTGTGTGTGTGTTCGTGTGTGTGGTGTTGGTGGTGGTGGTGTGTGTGTTGGTGTGTGTGTGTACGTGAGTGTGTAGGGTGATGGTGTTTCTGTTTGTGTGTTTGTGTTGTGTATATGTGGTGGTGTTTGTGTGTGTGTGTGTGTACGTGTATTAGTGTTGTGGTGGTGCTGTTTGTGTGTATTTGTGTATGTGTGTGTGTGGTAGTGGTGGGTGTGTGGTGGTGTTCGTGTGTGTGTGGTGTGTTTCTCTTTGTGTGTGGTGGTGTTGTGTGGTGTGGTGTTTGTGGTTTATGGGTGGTGGTTTTTTAGGGTGTACGTGTGTGTGTGTGGTGGTGCTGTGTGTGTGTTTGTGTGAATGTGTGTGTGGTGGTGTATGTCTGTTGTGTTTGTGTGTTTGGTGGATGTGGTGTGTGTGTTTGTGTGTGTGGTATTTGTGTGTGTGTGCGTGTGTGTGTGTGGTGTTGGTGGTGTATGTGTGGTGGTTTTTGTGTGTGTGGTGGTGGTGGTGGTGTGTGTGTGTGTGTGTGTGTGTGTGTGTGTGTGTGTGTGTGTGTGTGTGTGTGTGTGTGTGTGTGTGTGTGTGTGTGTGTGT